CCACGCACTTGTCCTTTTTCCTGTGTTTCAATTCCCATGCACAAAGCCCACCTCTAGTCATACGTACGCAAGTACCCTCAAAGACTTCACTTATACTATATAATACTACCATACATCAAAAACATGAACTGTAGAATCCCACAATGTTTTGGGTTTAGGAATTAAGCTCCGAGTTTGAGGCGTGCGGATGACGCAATCCAGCCGTCACCTACTAGCCCTTGGTGGGTTCCTCACTTACAAGACCCGTCACGGGTCTAGAGTCCCTAGAGTCGATGCCCAGAAAAAAATTACTATATATTGCCAGGGATCCCCTGCTCGGCCCTTGAGCTGAGAGGAATTCATTAGATACATGCATCACTGTTTTATTTTCGTTTAACTCTCAAGTGTTGGCCAACTTCAAGGACTTCTAGCAATTTCATTGGAACCTTTAAGGCATCTGGGAACCTTCAAGGCATCAGGGTGTTTCTCTTTTAAGAAGAAAAAAGCAACTTCATCTTAAGCAAGAAAATGAGTACTGTATGTCCAATTCCACTACCTCATTCAAGTTTTTCCTTCAAATGAACGTTGGTACACGTATAAGTTTATACATATTCATAGGTACACTCAGCTTCCTATGAGGACAACCTCAAATAAGCAATAGTGCGGACGTTGCTGGCCGTCATAAATGGTTTATGACCATCAACAGATCTGGACCATTGAAATCACGATCCAAAGGCTGCCAGAAACGTCTGCACTTTTGCTTATTTGAGGGCACCCTCATAGGAAGCTTAGTGTTCATAGGTATATATGAAATTATTATGAGATATATATATATATGTACACTCCAGGTTCGCGACCCTAATCAAATCGAATAGTCATGTTCATATTCAACTCCTTCATTTAACGTGCCTATGATTAAGGCTTAGATTTCGTTCATTAAGTAGACAAATTAAACACAAACGAGCATTTATCAAGTCGAGTCTCGAACAATTCACAAACTGCTCAATTACTAATTTACAGCCTTATGTGTGACACTGACAGTTGCACTGGGCATCATTAGGAACTTTATTAAACAATTGCAAATTAAGGGCAGCATTACACTATTAAATACAGCAACAAAGAGCCCACCAAAGATACTTAACACTGTACTAAGAAATACTACTATTTACATCTAGTACACGTGAAGAGTATTAATTGGTGATCATAATGTAGAGCAAAATTCCAACTTCACCCTTCTCAACAATAAATAGCCCAACAACCCTAATTGACATTTGAATAATTAAAATATGTGGGGACAGGGAAAATCTATGCTAATTTCATCATATCTTTACCAGTTCAATGACAGTAAAATGTCAAAAGAGGTTCCTTTTATATTACAGCACTCAAAGTTAGCAGCCTAGTGGTCTTTTTTCCTTTTCTTTTTTGAACGGCGCCTAATGGTCTTCACTTGCAGTTAAACCCAAAGAATCACATAGTAACTCTTTTGGTATCATTTTGAATATTTATCGGAGAACAAATCAGCATCTGTTACTGTTCAATAATATGATACAGTACCTAGCATGGATGGCGTCTAAGATGGGTGCATAGCTTATATGGGGGAGCGGTGTGTAGCTTATATATCTACCCAAAGGCCGTTGCAATAGTTAGAGAGCATGTGAGGTGTTGAGCTCAGTCTTAGATACCAACCATACTGGGTACGTACTGTATCATAATGTCAAGAGTATTGAGCAATAGGTATCAAGAATCAAAGTCATGAATTTCGTAAAATTCCAAGACAGTTCAAGAGTAATAGTGTAGCGGCAAATGCACAATATGATATTTCCACTCTAAACAACATATCGAGGTATGGTAAACTAGTTTCAGGAGGCAAGAAAAAAGATATCCCCTGGCCGATGGATGATATACTACACAAGGCTTCAAAATGGCCAATACAATACATACGTATTCATACTTGTCGAGATCTCAGGCCTTCAATCATGTTTTTGCAATATTGGCCTACACGTTACTGTATCCAAGGAAAGAACCAGAGGGATAAGTGGCAACGGTCGCACCCCTACCACTTTGTGAAAACACGCATACAGTACAAGTACTTAGTTTTATTCAGGGTAGACCCGCCATTCATAGGTTAAAATTCTGGTTTTATCCCTGGCCGTATCAGCGACACTAGTACATGTCCTGATACGACCATTCAAAACCTCGGCATCAACCGGTGGCATCTAAAAATCTTCTTGTTATGTCATGAAGACTTGTCTAGAACTTGATTTCTTCTCTAACCAAACTTGGACAAATGGTCATCAATAAAATTTCAAAAAGAAACAATGTTCAAACCTTCTCAATGACTCCTCATTTAGTATGACTAAACCAATGCCCAGTTTTCCCAACCGTTATAACCAGCATCAGGGACTAGGAATAGTTTATCACTTAGTACATGTACAATCAGGGAGCATTACATTATAAAATGATACACACTGGGGATTATGTATGTATGCTAAAACATAAACAAAACCTGTATCAAACATTTGTGCTCTACTAAATCATTGTTTTAGGAACCAACCACTACCTTCTTATTTGTTGGCTTAACTTCTATCGGCAATGACATCAGGTTTAACAGCTAAGGACAATGAAAGACAATGAGATTGATAGTTAACCATTATATATTATCCTATACAAATAAATAATGCAAGTAGATATAATCTTTGCTTAGTTGACAGTCGTATTCAAGATTTATATCATTTGTTTATAGAGAACAGCAGGGTCTCAGTCTCAGACAACCAGAAACATTACCAACCTGACATATGACTTCCGTTCGCATTGGGAAGTTTTCATTCACACATTGATTCTTTCTTTCTTTTTCCTGATAACCGGATACCCGGGCCAGCTTGGGCACACCTCGACTAATTCCGGAGCCCTGAAAGTAACGACTAGGCAAACCTTTCACTGGCCTCAAAGTTTGGAATGCTCCGTAGGATTCGAACATGCAACCGCATGGAGGGCAAGCACTTTTTTCGCTTTCTCATGCTCACTTGGCCAAACCTCTGGGGGTTATTCACACAACGATTCTTACCATCTGAACTATTGCAATGGTGCAATATTCATTATTAACACGTCTAAAAGTTCAATTAACCCATAAAAACCAGGGGTAATGCCTTATTTTCTGAACATGCCCGAGTCATACTCTTCTACATAATGAGACTAAATACTTGCAAATATAGCAGTGTTCTAAAAGGCGGGATTAATCGCCGGTTAATGGACGATTAACCGCCGGTTAATGGACGATTAATCGAAAATCTAGGCCGATGAGATTAATGGCTAAAAGGTTGAATTAGGCGGCTAAAAGATTAATCAGACTTTGGCGGTGATTAATCGCCACTTAATTGGTTGGCGTCTACGCGGCGATAGGCGATTAATCGGTTCATGGGCGATTAATCGGCTAATGGGCAATTAGGCGGGGTAAATCTAAATTTTTAGAAAACAAAGGGGGGTAACTGTTATGCTCATACGAGGTTATTTAGGGCTTCAAATTACTGCGTTAGGGCTCTCATTCGAAACCTAGTCATCGCCGACTGCCGACGCCAGCACATCGACGATTACCTCTTATCGCCAACGCCAGTCATCGCCAACGCCAGTCATCACCGACGCCAATCATCACCATTCACCGCCACTGCGCCTCACTGCCGACTGCTGTAACTCTCAATCCCCCCCCCCCCCCCCCCCCCCCCCCTCTCTCTCTCTTTCTCTCTCTCTCTTTCTCTCTGCAATTTCTCTCTCTGTAATTTCTCGATCCCCTTCTCTCTGCAGTGAGTAGTATTTTTTTTTTTTTACAAAATTTAACACTTGAGTCTGAGTAATAGAGTAGTGTAATATCGTAAATTTATGGTTTGGACCATTTGGTGTAGGCCGTAGCCGTGTAGACCGGTAGACGTGTAGTAACTAGTAAGTATTGATGGTAGAAAAGATATATCACATCAACTAGAAAAACTGTGATTATTGATGGTAGGGAGGTTGTAGAATTTTTATATAAAAAAAAAAAAACCGACTAATTGCTAAAAGGCGATTAATGGCTGATTAATAGGTCTCGAAGCTTGAAGGTGGTCAGCCGCACCGCCTAGCACCGAGCGCTTTTTAGAACATTGAAATATAGCACAAGCGGCGGTGACGTTAAAACCAAGAAGCTGTTCATGTTCTAATACTATGCTAAATTGTTATCCACCAACTCATCCAAATATTTATGTTGTTAGAGGAAAACCAGACTCCAATATCAGTAATAAAACTTCTTTGCTGAAAGAAGAAAAAACTCTGTTGAGAGAAAAGAAGCACAACATTTACTAAATCAAGAAACCATCGAAATGGAAGTGTACAATGTCCACAATTATAACCGTGTCACAGATTTCTCGGTAATGCCTAAATAAAGAAAAGAGTTGGGTTCATACTTTTAGACAATGGTAACTTTATCAACTCATTCACCACTTTGGCAAAACGTGATTCACCGAAAAGAAATTCATGTGGTAAAGGAACGTCAAATAAAATAAAAAGATCACGCACATAATGCATCTACGGATGAAGCAAACACGAAGTTGAGTGGTACTAACCAAACAGCGAACGAGCCAGAAATCTTCCTATGAGTTAAAGCAAAAAGATGTAGTCTTTCCATCTGCAATGGAAACTAAAAATGATTCGTAGAAATAAGCAACGAAGTGATACAATGAGTTATATCAGTATTATGTCCACGTTACAGATCGAGAGACTACACAATGACTATATAAATCCCCGGAAAGGAGAAATTGAAACGCCCTAATTGCTCCTGCTACAGTGCTCAGCGTTTTAAAGTTACTCTAGGGGAATGATATTCTACTCGATAGACAATTCCTCAAAATATCTTACTTTTCTCCATCATCTGATACAGTGTTGTAATGTATATTCACTTCTCTAGAGCAAGGATCCAGGGTTCATTGACAATTTGGCATCACTTCATAACTACATATAGTGGGTATCAAAGTCCAATGGTGTCCAAGTTTCCAAATCTCCCCAAGTAGGATTTGAACCAACAATGAATCATTTGACAGCTGATCACTCTCACTGATCTATTATGGGGGGAAATAGAAGATTAGGCCTCATAGAGGTCAATTCCCGTTCTTAATCCATGACCAATATCAGTTGTTTTGTATCTTAAAGTTTTGAGACACAAGGCTTTCAAGTAGTATTTGAACCTAAGACGAATAGATAAAACAGAGACTGATGCGCTACTAAGGTGACACCAACTGACAGCTCTATCATTGATCTAGGTATTGAGGAAGACATGAAGATTAGATCTCAAAGAGTTCAACTTCGTTCTCAACCCATGACCACTATGGATTTGATGTGCAACTTAATGTTTTGAGACAAAACAGCATCCATACTTTTGTCAACTATCACAATCTGGTCATCTTTTTCCATTTCACCATACAACAAATAAAAACCCTCATATAGACAAGAAGAAAGTACATTTGAATCAAACATATAAAGGTTTATTGGGATTCAAATGCTAAAGAAACAAGAAACAACTAATTAAAATGAGCCCACCACGATGTAGCAGTACCTAATGGTCAAGTTTCCCCACCATATTTACCAACTGCTTTTTTTTTCCCCTGTCGTAGGTCACCCTAGTCTCCATAGCCTATGTTCAATAGAATCAATTAGTGCAATAATTGCATAGGAACTAGGCCAAGTGATTAGCTATAATCTTACAATTATGTAGCGGTAACGCAATAACTACCCCATTATTTAAAAGTTTTAGGCTTACAAATGCCATTTTCTATGTCTACTTGTGATGAAGTGTTATATTAACAGTGGACCACCATAAAACTAGTATTATCCTAAATAGTATGGTCCCGTGCACTTATCCTAGTATCACATCGATCCACGAACCCAAATTTCTAATGATCCTAAAATATGCTTGATTGAGATATATAATTAGAAACAATATGAGACACACGTACCCAGTGGAACTACATCAAGAAAATACGCCAGAAAAGGTGAGCTCATATAGTACTGGATGTATTAAAGTACTGATTCCCAAATCAGAGTAGATTTTAAATTAAAATATATATGTAAATGTAGGCGAAAAAACAATATTTATCACGGATTCCTATTTGTAGGCATTGACCATTCCATTTCCAGGAACACAAAACCTTTAAAGCACAAAACTGTAACCCTTGATGTTTAAATCAACAATACAAACACAATCGCACAAATACACAAGAACCAATTTAGTGGTTTGTTTACAATTCCATTGCTATTTCCCCCTTTTCAGAACTAGCAAGAAAGTATGTTTCTGACAAGAATTGATCTTGGCAGGAAAAGGATTATCAGATCGGACATCGTTATTTTAAGAGAATTCCTATTAGAAGAACCAATTAATTACTCTAATTAGACTTCCACCTTATATCCACAGCTACAGTAGCTAATCAGAGGGGAAGAAAGCATCAAATCCTCTCAATCTGTTGACCAAGTCATTTTCCAATATCAAAAACCCAAGTCTCTTATGTTCTGCTAACTGCTCACATCAAATGCTTCCAATATTCATCTTTAAATAAGAAAGAGTTAGGTATGTTCTATAACACCTATACTAGAGTTCACTTATATGAGGTAAAAATTATGGGAGTGCCTATCTATACACTCCAAATATAAGATGCTCCAACCAGTTATTCAGTGGTTCTAGGGCACCGCGGACACTCTCTTCAATCACATATTCATGCGGGACCCACACACTACTCTTGTACGCCACCTAAATATATGGGTTATGGAAGGGGTTGGGGCACCGCAAGGAGCACCCAAGGACTTTACAAGTTTACATTACACACGGCGCTAGTCCTTTAGGGTCTTTAGAGCAGCGGTTTTGTTTCCATTGCAACTTTGAGTTTTGAATTAGGTACATAATCACTTCACTGACTTCTAGTCTAGGTAATACATTGAAGTAACAACAGAAATTGAACCTGAATAGACACATTCAAGTAAATTTTTTGACCTATTAGTCGATTTTTTTTCTTTAGTTTTCTTTTGTTAATTTCAAATTACTGGCACAAATTTTTTTTCTTTATTTTTTGACCTATTAGTCCATTTATTTCCTTTTACCTATAAAATGTAAATTACTTATTCACTTCAATCTTCTTCTTTACCAGTTTACCTATGAACTTTTTTCCCATGAAACAAGCTCAGCCTAGGGAAAGTCTAGGACACATACTTTTTTAGTATAAATTGGGTTATATGTACTGATTCGTTTTGGATCTTATGCTTGTTGCAGAGTCCCCGATTCCATTCAATGTAATTTTTGCAATCAGCCACTCGGTGTTTGTGAAGGGAGACCAGACCAACTTTGTGATTGAGCCTTCGGTTGGGTTTGAAGCTTCTGAGCTTTATCCGGATGTCAAATACACCACAGTTGAGGAATACCTTGATCAGTTTGTTTGAGAGATTATACAGCACCTTTGGTCTTATTTCTGCTAAAATAAAAGTGTGAGTGTTTGTGTTGAGGTATTCGTATGGGTTCAATGGCTTTCATGTAACAAGACTTTGGTTTGTTGAAATGAATGGTTGTTTCCTACATTTCATTTTTTTTAAACAAGAATTACCTGTGACTTTTTGTTTTTTCATGGGGTTATTACACAAATGGTTGTCTTCGACTCTTTATCTTGGTATAGTCACCAGGGATCCCTGGTACCAGGGTGTTGATTCTATATATGGATGCCATGCCAGCATCCCGTCAACCCCTGCCCACTCTGAACCATTTATTTCAATCTCAAATTCATTGACTTCTACGAGTGCGGTTTTGTTTCCATTGCAACTTTGAGTTTTGTATTAGGTACATAATCACTTCATTGACTTCTAGTCTAGGTAATACATTGAAGTAACAACAGAAATTGAACCTGAATAAACACATGCAAGTAAATTTTTTGACCTATTAGTCCATTTTTTTCCTTTAGTTTTCTTTTGTTAATTTCAAATTACTGACATCCAAGTGACCAAAAGGTTCACCCCGGAAACAAGTTATCTATATTGAGCTTTCTAATTATTATTCTGCATGTATTATCCAATTATGTATCCAATAAACCTCTCTTAGTGTTTGGTAAGCAGATAACCAGTTAAAAGAATCTAGATAAACTAATACTTTGACGAATTTTGACTAATTCCACATCAAGAAACAAAATTTGGTGAAGTGGGTTTTGTTCCATGCACTGCAGCAACAAGCCCACAACAACAAATGCGAACACACAAGTGGCTTATGGGCCCCGTTTTAAAGTCTTCATGAAGGCCAATCCGACACAATAGCCCAAACCAAATCAACTCCAAAACTAAATTGGGCCTACATACCATACCACTCAATTTTTACTTTCCAAGGAATGTGACCCAAATCAAAACAAACCTGAGGTGATGTGGGCCCTTGAAAAACTGGCCCCAAATCAGCATAGGTGGGCCTAAACCTAGTTTAAGACTTCCACTCAAACATCACTGCTAAATCAGAAGAGGGAATACTATGATAAATTCTCCACAAAGGGATTTTAAGAAGGGGTGAGTAAGTACGTATGTATTGAATGTCCTGAAATGTCATCGTCAATAATTGGTGCAAATTAGTGTAATTGTCTTCATAGTGTCTGTAAGTCAAGAAAGGTTGTCAGTAGAGGACCAAGAACAGTAATGATCAATTATATGTGTAATGTTTGTATTCTCCACCCGACTCCTATAAAAGGAGGAGGCCACCCCTAATGTAAAGACAGACCTAAGTAATCAGATCAGTGTGTTCTATAATATCTCCCCTTGTTTTCTCTATTGCTCTCTTTTACAATCCTAACCTACTTTGTGTTTGAATTTGTACACACTTGTAATAAGATCAAGCCGGTCGTAACACGGCCAGACTACGAATGGCTGCTAGACAAACATCTGAGCACCACAAACTCCTTTTGGCCTTGCCAATGACATTACTATCTTACGCTCGAATCCAAGACTCTATAGTGATGCATATTGTAGAGAGTAACATGCTCACTTCATGGTGACGCCCGAAATGGAAACGCCGCCGAAAACAGTTCAAAGGCATTTACACAAGGTCTTCATTTCTATCCCATACACTGGACGATCCAAGCAAAACAGACTCAAAGAAACCTAGGTCTACACACAATCAAACGCCTAACCCTCATAACAAGTAGTGATTAGCATTAGGGGTGATACCGGTCTGGTTTGGACGTATATTTGGGACCAAACCAGACATCTTGGTTTGGAGAAGCATAAACCAGAACCAGTCGAAACTAGTCCGGTCCGGTTTCATTCGGTTTGTTCGGTTTCTGTCCAGTTTATCCGGATTGGTCGGTTTCCTTGCATTGGCTCAATTTCACGCCAAGCCCAACAAAAAAACTCAATTCAAACCCAATTACCCTACAACCCACTGCTGCGGACACCACAACTACCCCCACTGGCACCGCAACAACCCATTGACGCTTCGCCACTGCATCCCTTACCACTATTGCCGTCCATTAAGATCTGATCCTCACCGTCGCCGCAACAACCTGCACCATTGCTGCCATCAACAGTGGATGCCGGCACAGAGCTCCATCTCAGATCAGATCTGAGTTTGGGGTTTCAAACAAAACGAAACCGGGTTTCAAACAAAAACGAAACCAAAAAAAACAACAGAGAGATAGAAGGGGAAAAGGAAAGAGAAGAAGGGGGAGGGAGAGAGAGAGAGAGAGAGAGAGAGTCACTCTGTTCAGCTCAGAACTTCGTTATCGCGACGTGTTGAGGGGTAGGTTTAGGGTTTGGAATTGGATGAAATGAGGGCTGGCCAGGTAGTGGGTACCGTAGTTTTAAGATGTATATATATAACCGGTTCGGTCCAGCTTTTAAGCCACAGGAACTGGAGACCGAACCGGTTTTGAAACGGGGAGAAAACAGAAACCAGGACCGAACTGGTAAAACAAAAGGAAGAAAAATCGGCCAGTTCAGTCTGGTCCGGTTTTTTAGTTTTGACTTGTCAACTCTAGTTAGCATCACATTTAAATTGTCAGACTACGCAACAGTATCATCAATTGTAGTGGTATCGAAAGTATCAAGAGATACATACCAGC